GTAGGCTTAGCTTCCTTATCCTCTTCTGGTATGAAATTAGCCATGAAGGCCCCTTCAAATTCTTCCCAAGTAGGCGGACCATCATCTTCATCTCTTTCTTTTTCCCACATCTCAAACCAAGCGCCATCACATCTCTAAGCTGGTAGGCATCCAACTCCACGGCTTCATCATCAAATGCCTTCATTGCTCGGAGAACTTTCTTAACACCCTCCAGACACAACATTGAATCTTCATCAACTATAGTACCACAGAACAATGGAGGACTTAGCTTCAAAAATCCATTCACTTTTAAGGACTCAGAACTGTTCTGTTTATTTGATTGAGGTGGAATCTCAGCTCTTCTCTCGTTCTGGTTGGCCATGATGGCTTTAAACATCTCCATAGCACTGTTGACAGCATTAAACATCTTACCCACCTCTGGAGATGTAGCTGTCTGAGCCGGAATTGTTGTTGGGGGTGGAACTGGATCCTGAGGTACTTGCTCATCATGATCCACCCCTTCTTCATGTTCAACCCGGGGTACTTGAACCCCGTTTGTGGATTTACCCTTCCTTTTCTGAGTTGAAGCCTTCTTAGTTCTACCTTGAGCCATAATAGTAGTAATAGTTTGTTGAGCAGCATCCTGAGTGTCGGTGTCAGAATTGTGAGTACGAGCCATTTTTGTGAGTTTTGGAGAAACGAATACATTAGATAACTTCTTAGATGTAGGCTCTACCGCACGATCATAAGTATGAAAAAAATAAGACTTTTCCTAAATGCTGATAGCCTCTTATTTATAAGTATGGCGCGCTTCATACCCATAAATAAGACTCTACTGGCATGGCATCATAGACCCCTAGGACTCCATAAACCTGATGCTCTGATACTAAGTTTGTCACGACCCATTTTCTGAACAAGCTGTGACCGACACCCGGTCGCCAAATTTGACCGAGCGAACCATCTGCACTTATCAAAACTATTATAACCTCAAACTTTATATGCAACAAGGCTATACTTTAACCAAATACTTTTAATTAATTTGAATATCTAAAATAAACCAACTCCAAAACTTTATTCGTAGTAACTACTGAGATATTGCAAAGTTATTATCAAAAATACTTGAATCTTAATCTACCGACTGTGTCTATGAAGCCTTTATTGATAAACTGACGCACTGCTCAGGACATGAGATTCCCTGGCCATTTATCCAAGTAAATAAAGAAATAATAAATAATGACGACTCAAAAAAGTACTCCACGAACAAAAGCGGGGCTCCCCAATAGCACTGAAAGTGAGGGAAGTCCTAACTCATAGCCTGCTCGCCTGCAAAACTAATTCCTACGTTGTACCGCAGATCAACGCAGGTTCCCAAAAGAGAATGTCAGTACCATCCATTGTACTCAGTGAGTCTCAACGATATGGGACAAAAATTTAATAAAATATACATTACAAGCAAAGATTCTAAATGCATGAAAAACATAAATCTTCTACGAACAATTCTAAAAAAAATTGTATAACAACAGTTTATGAATATTCTAAAAGAAATTCTTTTCTTTTTCTTTCTTATCTAAAGAAAATACTTCACTTTATGCTTCGGGTGTTCCAACTATCCTGACTCATTTCTGTCTTAGTCACCGTGTGATCGGTACGGGTTCGATCCCAAACTGATTGAATAGGCCCAATCCACGAGGTGACACTCGCTTCATGGTTCTCAGCGCTCATGTATCATACCTTAGCATGTCTAGGCAAATTCTCGGCAATGAGACCCTCGGCTCGTGTTCTCCCTACTTTGGCACAAGTATTTTCAGGAAGTCAACGCCTTGGTTAGGACCCTCGGCCTGGACGATGACCCCTTCTCAGAATACAGGATACTCCCAAAAATCTTATTTTTCTAAAACTTCCTCTTGTGACTTTTCAAGTCTAAATCTTGTTTTAAAGTGATCATTCAATTTTATTAATAATATTCTTGAGTGTATGCATAGCATAATCATGAAATAAAATTACTCAAAGTAGTTTTAAAAGTTCTATCTAACTTTTGAAACTTTAACATGTAAGATTATGTAATAAAGCATAAAAATATGAAAAATAGACGATTATACTTCTCGAGTAAAACATATAAGCTTTAACTAGAATATACTTAGTCAACATGTATTAACTCATTCCAATTAAGCACATATTGACTTTTTAAAATATTTTATCTAACACTTTGTGGGCATACTTTTGTGAGAAGAAATACTTTAGTAAAGGGTTATATCCGCTCACCTCAAAACTCCTCGAGCCAATATGTAGGCTCTGGTCTAATTTATATCCGTCAAATAATCGATTCTACAACAACCAATGTATTTTAATTAATTTTAAAGTTTCACACCTAAACATTGAACTTACTGTTGATACACAGAAAGAAGGGAATTCTTATACTGTAGGATAATTTGAGAATAGAAAATTTTATATACCTGAGTTCAAGAATTAGTGATTTGTAAAGAAACCTAGAACTTCCCGTTGCCTGCGTGAGTAGCACTCTCTGTTTCGTGGTTCTCTGTTTCGTGAGAATGAACATAACGCTTGTCCTGTTTTTGTATAAGGATTTTTAGTCCTTTTGCCTTCTAACAGCCCTTTATGGGCTTTTAGGCTTGTCCACCCCACCCCACCCCCCACCCCACCTTTTTTGTTTTATTATTATGTTTTGACTTAACTAATTATTAATGATGTCCACTTTTAATAATTAATAATATTTCTCTAATTATATATCCAATTATTCCTCTAAATAGAGAAGTAACTCAAAAGTCAATCACAGGGGTTTAATCCGTAATAGAAGTATAATTTTTATGCACTCAAGGCAAGATTAAAAAAATTAAATTCTATATTTAGCGTGTCTTGAAATTTTTATTGATTTGAGAAGTGTACAATATAGTAAATGACCCTCTTTTTATTTCTCTTGCTATTTATGAATATTTTTAGACCACAATCTAAAGATTTCTTTTGAGCAAACTGAAAATCTTATGATAAATGTTAGATCACGATATAAAATTTGTAAGTTATTGCATATTTTGTGTGTATGGTTGAGCAATATATGAGCAAACATTAGACCCAAATTTAAAGAATAATTTTCCAAAGGTTATAGTTGCACCATTTTTTAAAGGGAATCTTACATAAATGTCCCAAATAAGTTCCAACTTACTAACCTCTAGCCATTAATCATAAACTTACCAAAACTAGTCAAACACATATAAAAATTGAAAACCCAAATAAATAAGGTTCTTTCTCTCCAAGAATCACAAGCAAAGATCTCTTTCCATATTTTTAAGCGTGATTAACAACATTAAATGCAAGACGGAAAGGAAAATGAGGCTGCAAATAAGGTGATGAAATATTTATATATATATATATATATATTTATATATTTTCCAACATCTAAGCAAAAAAGGGACCTTTTTCAATGGGTATGGTTAAAATTCATTGAAAATATATAGATGAGCCAATATACAAAATTTGAGGAAGATTGGAGGTGATTTGGACTGATTTGGTATCAAAATCCGTACTTAAAATCGAGTTTAAAAAATTCTTCTGCGACACATGTATCACGCATGTATCTCACACACATGTATACATAGATATACGTGTGATACGCATTTGATACAAATATGATACATATGCGATACATATGTGATACATAAATGTGATATGTACATATAATTTTTTTTCATGTTCATCTTCTACTTCTAATCTTCAATTCAAACCACCTCAAAACTCCACCAAATCATCCCAAAACTGAGATTCAAGATCCTTAAGATGTACCAAATCTATTCTAATAACACTCACTCAAAAGAAAGCAAAAATCTTGACCTTTTTTTGGCTACAAATAGCTATAATTGACTAATATTGGTAATAGTTGGCTAATATTTGTAATATTTTATAAATTGGCTAATTTTTATAATAAACTACTTATAAATGAACATAGCTGATAGTTTCCTTTTTAAAACTGGAATAAAATCTAAATGATGGCCTAAAAAGGGGCATTAGCATAAATCAGCAAGCAGTAACTGGCTGGCCGAAATATAATACATGGGCCTGCTAGTAATAAGATCGCGGTATGTTGTCCGATATCAGCCTGTTTTAACTGGCAAATGTGAAGATCAGGCTCGGCTTTTGTTTGGTTTATATCCACTCAAAAAACTTTAAATTTAGCTGTGCTCCCTCGTCCTTCCTCTTAATTTACTAGGTATCTTGAATTAAATCTAGAATCGTATTACCAACTTGAGTATGATATTTCAGCTATTTGTAAAAACTTTGAGAAATAATCAGGTGTTCGCTTTTAAAAATTATGATGAATATGCTACAAATACATAGTAATTAAATATTGGTTCCAAAATTAAACTTTTACCCTGGCTAAGGGATGTATGTAGGGAAAGTCTTTAGGAGAGCCGATAAATGTGTTAGAACTATATCACTGGAATCATGTCCGGTGGATATAGGGATTAGTTTTTTGTTTGTAGAGCTGTGAATATTTACGAGTGGTAATAAAATCTCATTAATTACCAAAAATAAATATTGGTTCCAAAATACTAAGTGCCATTATTTATGAAATTCCGTATTTGATCCACAAACTCAACGTACGAGAGAAGGGCCCCTCGGTAAATGTATTAAGTTAAGTGATAAATAGATGGATAAGATAAACATATCTTACAATTTGGCGTAGATAAATACAGATATCTATCCGCATACCGAATGTGGATAGATGCTTCATTTTGTTAAGATTTACTCATTTCATGTCTTGACTTTTTATCCGGTAGAGATCAACATTTTTTCTTAAATTTACTCATCATTAAAATAGTACTATTACTTAATAAAATAGACATCCTCAAGAGGGAAATCCTATTTAATTTCATTTATGCTTAAAATTTGTGCAACATTAATCGCCACCTGTCACTGGACTCACTGCTATAACTATTTCTACAAAAATAGAAATGTAAATGTAAATAAAAATAATATAGAAGAGAGTACGTGTACACTTACAAAGCCAATCCTATTTGTCCAAAGAGATATGGTTCAAAGAAGTGGACAAAAGAAAAAGAAAATTCCATCCACTGACTTCCCTCACTTAATCCTATGTTCTCAACTATTGTCATCGACAGAAACTAAGCACAGAATACATCAAAATGGCACTTAATTCCATCTCATTACTTCCCATAAAATCCATCAACATTTCCTCCTCCTCCTCTAGTTCTTGTTATGGAGCTCTTAGTCCCCTGCAACCTCCTCAAAAATCATTCAAGATTGTCTGTCAAATAGAAAGGTCAAATAATACAGAAGTAAAGAAGTGGAAAGCTATTGTTTCAACTGCATTAGCAGCTGCAGTGATTACATTTAGCTCAAACATGACTGCTATGGCTGACTTAAATAAGTTTGAGGCAGAAACTAGAGGTGAATTTGGTATTGGTTCAGCTGCTCAATTTGGTTCTGCTGATCTCAAGTTAGTTTTTTTTTTCTTCAAGATTTCTTCAATCTTTCAAGCTTTTAATTTTTTGGGCCTGAAACAGTTCTTTTGTTTTTTCTTGTTAATTTGCAGAAAAACAGTTCATACAAATGAGAACTTCAGGTAATCTTTCCTCTGCCTGTAGGATGATACTTCTTTTATTTTCAAATAAGCTGCCTCCAGAAGAAAAAATAATACTCCCTGCATTTCTTTTTGGGCAAAGGTCCAAATATGCCCTTGTACTATACGAAATTGAGCACATTTGCCCTTCGTTAATACTTTAGCTCAAATATGCCCTTACCGTCACATAGTTGGTCCATATATGCCCTTAGAGTTGCACGGTTGGCCCATGTATGCCATTTTCGAAACGAAATTCACCCAAACTAATTAGCTCTTTAGTTAATTGTATTAAAGTGTATTACAAATACTATTTCCTTTTTATTAGTACTTTTTTCTTTACTTATCTCTTTTCTTTCTTCTTTTTTCTTTTCTTCTCTTTTTTTTCCTTTTTCTTTCTCCCTTATCCGTTTCCTCCATTACTGATGTCTTCTCCATTTTCGTCACCAATTTCACTTGACTAAACTCATGAATTCCAATTACTAAGAAAATTCTCCCATAAGGTAATCAAGTTCCAATTTCACAGCCCTCTAAATAAACGAAATTAAATTGTTCCAAAAATTATGGTTTAAACTTTAAAATAATAAAAACATCTCAACCTTTAACAATACTCAAAAGACCAAAATATTTAAATTGTTTCCAGAAAGAAAATTTAATGATTAAAAGCCTAGAGCTCAAGTTGTAGTGTTATAAATTTGAGTTGTTAGTCTTTTTTCATCTTTTTTCAGCTGGACATTTTCTATTTTTTTATTAACTATGTAAATTAGGGGTGTACATGGAACGGATTGGTTCGGTTTTTATCAAAACCAAACCAAACCGATTATATCGGTTTGGATTGTTCAGTTTTGTTGGATTTTTCGGGTTTTTTGTTACATAAATATTATTTCAATCTTACTTTGTTAAATGTTTTAGAACTAAATATATGTTCAGTAAAAATTTAAAAATTGACAAACATATGATCTATTAAAATATTCTTATGCGAGAATTTTCTTAGTAATTGGAATTCATGTTTTGTCAAGTGAAATTGGTGACGAAAATGGAGAAGACATCAGTAATGGAGGAAATTGGATAAGGGAGAAAGAAAAAGGAAAAAAAGAGAAGAAAAGAAAAAAGAAGAAAGAAAAGAGATAGGTAAAGAAAAAAGTACTAATAAAAAGAAAATAGTGTTTGTAATACACTTTAATACAATTAACGAAAGAGCTAATTAGTTTGGGTGAATTCCGTTTCGAAAAGGGCATATATGGGTCAACTGTGTAACTTTAAGGGCATATATGGATCAACTATGTGACGGTAAAGGCATATTTGAGCTAAAGTATTAACGAAGGGCAAATGTGCTCAATTTCGTATAGTACAAGGGCATATTTGGACCTTTTCCGTTTCTTTTTTAATGATAAGGTTTGTTGACATCGCATAAGATGTCTATTTGACATTGCTTCTATATTAGTAGTAATGGCTTAATATAATAAGGGGCCGGTTTGAAGACAAGTTATGGTGGGATTAGTTATGCTGAGATTAGTTACGCCAGGGTTAGTTATCCTGGTATTATTTTTATTGATTGTTTAGTATGTTGTATTAATCCTGAGATTGTTAATTTTACTGTTTTATCCTGTCCTGGGATTATTATTCCACCCTCTGCCAGATAAAGTTATCTCAGTACTATTTTTAATCCCAGGATAACTAGGATTAATAACCAAACAAGGGATAAAACGGTACTAAATTTTTATCCAGAATTATTTTTGCTTATCCATCACACCAAACGACCTCTAAAAGGGGTAAAAAGTCATACTGATAAGGAACATAACAAGAACGTTTATAAGTAGAATAGTTAAACTAATTTGGTGTGAAAGAGCGTCATATAAGTTGGAACGGAGGGAGTAATACATATTTTTCCCCGTTTTGTTGGAAGAGAAGGGTGAAATTTTTTACGGAACCAGTACTTAAGCTTGCAACTTTGAAAACAGAAACTGTAATTGAAAAGTCATTCAACAAGAACTATAGAACAAGAAGTTTTCTCAGTGCAGACTGGTATTCATTTTCAATTGGACTTGCTGATACAGAAGAGCCAATTTCACATCTGCTGATATGAGGGAATCAGATTTCAGTGGTTCAACATTCAATGGTGCATATCTTGAGAAAGCAGTTGCCTATAAAGCGAACTTCTCAGGTACTTTTTCCATAGCAAAAACATCCTAATATACAAGATAGAACTAAATGAACTAGCAAGTGTTATTTATTGATGGAAAAAAGTTATATGCTTTGTTAAAAAATGTCACAAAGAAGATGCTAATGAATTACCTTTAGCTGCTTTTAGTATGCCACTTCCATTCCATCAGAAAATTGTGCCAAGATTACACATTCTTTGCTGTAGCTTTTGTTGTAGAATTAGTTTTTCCCAGGTCTACGTTGACATTTAGTAGGAGCCATCAATGCCAGAACGACACTTATTGGCGCTGATTCTTCACTCTGTTTTCTCTTTGAAACTTCGCCTTCGCCTTTGCCTTTGTCTTGATGAGATTTAATATCTGATTGGTAGGATTTGCTTGTCATGCTGGGGCATCTTAGTGTAGCCATTGGATCCTGAATAACATTTTTATTCATGCATTGCACATCATATTGCGAATCACATGTTGCTTCAATATTCCCTGCCAATTTGTCAGCTGCTCGGTGATCCTGATTTTTCCCCCGATGCCTCCTTATGTGATTTTAAGATCTTAAATGCATCTGGAAAATCACGAACCCCAAACACTTTACGTCTTTTCGAAAACCCAAAAGGATTGACCTCTGAAGTACATAGCCCGTTCAGCAACTGAAATTTTTTAGCATCTTCTGATGCAGTCTTTACAAGTGGAACATTTTGTGCCATCGCGTAACGGTTATTACCATGCTCCTCACATTCAAACTGGCCAATGGTATCTTCATCCTCGAAAGCCTCATTCAACTCCAAATCTACATCTAATTGTATTACTTCCTCTAGATCAATTGGCACAACAGGCTCCTGTTGCTCAAATTCTTCTTCACATAATATTGCATCTGCAAAAGGATCCACTAAATCTCCTTGACACCCAAAATCAACCTTCAAATGTTTATCAGAGTCATCATTTGTTTCCTTAACATGATCCTCTTTAGATTTATGATCAACATGGATATCACCAGATTCCAGCACATAATCCTCTTGGGATTTCGGGTCAACACCCTCAAAATTCTTAAGATCCTTTGGAAAATCACGAACTGCGTAAAACTTATGCCTCCTTAACTTGGTCATATCACATTCTCTCGTTTTTAACTTGTCGACCAGGTCAACACAAGCTCCATCCTCCACTTGAGCATTCTGTTTACGCGTATCCACAACCTTAATCAAGTCTACATGCTCAGTGCTTCCACACTCAATAGATTCGATTCGAGCAATTCTTTTACCATCCCTCAGATCCTCTGGCATCTGAATACCTAATTCTGCACCTGCCTTTTGTTCAGAAATAACAATTGGCTCAAACTTCATAGCTTGAACACTAGAGGATATGATATTCTTTTCACCATACACTAATTTTTCCCCAACCTCAGCATCCGGCTCGTGAGACCCTATAGATTCAGTTTCTTGTTCAACATCAATATCTTCCTTAGTTTTCTCTATAACACGTTTAGCAAATCGCGTAAAACCCTCTGGAAAACTGCGCATTGCGAATACCTTTGGCCGCTTAAACATGGGCATTGAACAAGATGGGGAAATTTTAGCATATGGCTTCTGTACTACTGCTTTCAAATTCTCCATTCTCAACTGCTCATTTGAAAACCCTATTCAGAGTTTATGCAAAAGTTGTTCCCATAACAAGAAAAAAGCAGAAAGATCAAAACTTTAGCTTCATCCAGGGGAGAACAGTCTATCAAGAAAATGAAACCCTAACATTCAGAAAAATTGTAAATGAACTAAAAGAGTTACAGTAATCCAGCCCAAATTCAGAATTTTAAATCTGAAACTTAAAGCAAATCTTAATTAAAAATACCAATTTCAACCAGCAATATCAAGATAAAAACTTGTCATTAATTCATAAAATCATTTTATACAACAGAAACGGTGAAACAATATGTGCTAAAAACTTACCAGCACCAGGTGTAAGTATTTACCCCAACCTATCTGACTCCCGCCCGAGTTTTTTTTAGGTACGATTTATAAGCCCTTCTATTTTGTTAAAAGGAAACACCCTTCTATTTTGGAACTTTTCCATTTTGGATAAGGATTTAACTTCGGAACTATTTGTACAGAATGTACGGAAAGCTTATATTAATTAAGTTTACCTATATTTAATTACATGAGAACCTTTAATAATTTAACCATAGTCTTTTGTGTGTTTTAATTGCAGATTATTCCACAACTATTAGAGTACTATTATAAATAGAACTATATTTAGGATGAATGTGTATGTTTTAGAGAGATCTTAGGGTTTGTTACTTTGTGGTTAAGTAAGTCATTTTTCCCCTATATAAATAGAGGGGTTCTATTCTATTGTAATTCATCCCAAATCAATAAGAATTTTCTCTCTCTACTTTTCTCTGCAATACTACTCTTCTTCTTTTATTGTTTTATAACATGTTGTCAGCACAAGACTCGAACTAATTGAGTAGAGGGCGGTTGTTTTAATTTGTAGATATACTATTAATTAGTTGTCTAGCGTTTGAGAAATTAAAACCCCGTGGAGAGAAGATATAGGAATTTGCATGAGACTCTTGGGTGAATACACTATATTCCTATACTAGGAATCTGTTTCGGTCAATAGGCTTTGGGATACGTGCATGGTGCTCAACCTGTACATAATATTGAGCATAATGATTGTCAATTGTTCCATGAACTTCCTTCAGGAATAAATTCTGGACTTAAGGTAAGTATTTTGCCTTATTTTTCTCTTTTAAATTTTTAAAATTTTATAATTTGATTTTAAATACAAGCAAAGACAATAAATTTTTCTTATAACTATAGTAGAGTTTGTAAGAAATTATAACCATCCGAAGTGGTAAAATTTCTATGTCTCGCCATGATCAAATTTATGTATGATTATGAGCACAAGAAGTGGAAACTCGTCCCATTGAATTTGCTTCATTCTCGTTCTTTAAGAGAATATGATAGCAATATGTAATAATTAAGTCTGAAAGAAAATAAAATTATTATCGTAAAGGTATCAATGGATGTGGACGTGGCAATAGACGAAATTATAATCGTCATCATTGTGGTAATGAGAATAATAAGGATTCTCAAAATAATCCTTCACTCTGTGAAATTAATATTTGTCATCGATTTGACATAAGATTTTGTAAAACACATATAGATGATTATGGTCCATTCATGATGTGAATGTGACAACACGTGATTTATGAATACATATTCATTTTGGAAGAATATGAACGTGCTAGTGGTAGTGAATATACCACACTCATCTCTAGAAGGAGGTTTGAGAGGAAATAAGAAAATAATGTCATTATTATGGCACGAATGATCACTGGTCACGTACCTATTGTACGCCAAAATATTTTGGCAATGTGATTATTAAAGGACAACGGTGATGCAAGAAACAGATCTTGCATATAATTTTGACCATGACTATAATAGTATAACTTTCTCTTTGAGACATATATTCACCATATGGATGTTGATGAATATATGATAATATAAAATCAATAGAGAGCTCTAGAAGAGCCAATTATTACTATTTTGGAGGAATACAATTGATTATCATGTCAATTTATTGTGTTGTAGTAAGTCTCAAAGAAACTTATCCAATTTTCAAAGTATACGCGAAAGCGATTGATTATATTAAGACTATGAATAAAGAAAAGATTTAATATCTTCTATTACTACAACTTGTAGCGGGGTAATATGTATGTGAAAAGCTACCCGCTTTATTTTTTAGTTTGCACTACACACATAAAAGAATACCACAATAAAGTGAAAGTTTATTGATATAAAAATCCATATCATAATAAACTTGAAGTTTATTGATAATTGCACATGTCATGGTGTAAACCTGAAGTTTATCAATATTGATAATTTATCCAGTTGACATAATTGATTTAGCCATGTTAATTTAAGTATGATGTGCAAAAATAAAAGAGAAATCACATAGGTAAATATTAAAAAACTAGAAAATTCTTTATGAAGTCTCTTATGTTGTTTGTTCTCATTAATTAATAGACCAACTAAAATTGGGATTGAATTCCATGAATGCTGGAAATATCAAAGGTGAATATGGGTCCATTCACCTGTCAAGTATACCACATAAGATGCATCTATGAGATGGTTACATGTGCATTTATTATTAACCCGCAACCTGGTGTTTGTGAGGTAACTTGCTCAATAATTTAATTTTGAGCATAATTTTCAGATTTTCTATTCAAGACAGTTCACCTTGATAAATTGGTTTACATCACAGTTGGTTTAGCAAAATAATTTATTGAGTGTCTCCACTTAATAACTAAACTATTGCTTATGAGAACAGAGTTATTTATATCAGTTTGATATACGCTATATACGAAAATATATTACATTCTCCTCTCACAAGTGGTTCAGGGTCAGGAACCAAATAATTATTGATGTGCAATGTATATTTTGATGAACACTATAACGCGTGGGTTTCCAAAGTTGAGGAAGCAAGTTAGTTTTTCTAACATGAGGGGGAGACATGATAAATAGTTGTGAAAAAATTACGGAATGAATTATCATTTCTATATCTAGATCCTCGAATAAGATAATATGAACTTGAAGTTCATAAAAAGATAATTCATCTGCAATATGTTGCAAAGCATGCCAGACGCATTTGTTGACCCAAAGAAAGTAACTATATTCTCACTACAAATGCTCCCATTAGAATAAGTCCTAGAAGGACAAAGTCTATGATACGCTTAAAACATATAGACAAATCGGTCAAATAAAATTCATGATAAAGAAGACGAGCAAATGATCATAATAAGAAGGCAAGTGATCTAGAAGATCAAATGACATAACATTTTATAAAATTTCAGGAGAGGTTCAGGTACCTAAAAATATGAATGAAGAGATCTCTATATTATGTCTTTATGAAAAAATATTGGAACCGATATAAAATGTTCGTCGACGACATCTATGATAGCGCTAAGTATAGATGAGGATCTTAAGTCTATTGAATACAGACACAAAAATATTGGCCAAATGAAAGAGACAGAATTCGAATAGAATTGGTTTCATATGAAAGACATGTAGTTTTGGACATGTAGTTCAAACACTTGAAAGTATAAAGTCAATGGTGTGTGTAATCACTTTTATCTATCTTATATGTCTAGCGTGGCATGAAAACTTGATATGCATCTAAAGTCTATTTAAATGGCTTATATGACTTAACTTATATGACAATCCTGAAGGATTCAAATCACTTAAAGCATATACAATCCTAAGTGCAATTTTGTGAACATATGTATCTTGCTATAACTATAAGTATAATAATGTGATAGCGAGAATTTTTACCTCTATGGAGATATTGAAAAGGCTATTTCATGACGTTATATGAAGACGTTACATATCTATCAAGAATGATGATTTCAAAATGCAACACATTCATTCAAGTTAATATGGCTAATTTGTTTATTGAATGTCTACCAACGATCTTTTGAAGATGGTGCACAAGATCGAGATGCGAAGGCTTAAAGATGTGAAGTGATGCTCTCATGAGGGGGAGTTAATACACGTTGTACTCTTTTTCCCTTACAAGGTTTTGTCACACTGGGTTTTTCTTGCAAGGTTTTTAACGAGGCAACCAAAAGGCGTATTTCTAAACATGTGCACTCTTTTTCCTTCACTAATTATTTTTTTCACAGGGTTTTATTTTAGTTAAGGTTTTAACGAGACACATTATCTGTTGAATAGGCATTCAAGGGGGAGAGTTATAAATATAATTATATTTAAGGTAAATGCCTATATTTTAAAGAGATCTTAGGGTTTGTTACTTTGTGGCTAAGTAATTCACTTTTACCCTATAAATAGAAGAGTTTTATTCCATTGTAATTCATCCCAAATCAATAAGAATTCTCTCTCTACTTTTCTCTGCAATTTGATAATAAATTGCAATTGAAAAACAGATATGTTTGAATCAAATTAACACTGGTTTAATCTGAAAGTAAAAATAAATATAATGAAAATTCCTTATATATTGCAATTCCTCCCCACAAAAAAAAATTTGTTACATTTCTCATACAATAAAGAATATTAGGAAAGTTAGAAAGGATTAAATACAAAGCTTAAAATATATATTGTGAAGCAACATCTATAGTGTGAAGCAACGTGGCAACATCTATATAAATTATATGTTGGAAATACAAGCTTAAAATCCTCTTGCAAAAAAGCTAGTGAAGAAATTAAGGAAAAATAGAGAAATTAATAAAAATTCCAACTTTGTTGTTGTCGTAAAGAAATTAATATAGAGAAAATTTTCGGGTTTTTTTCACTTTTAGCCTGTATCAGAAATTATTTATATTTGATAGTCGAAAAAGTGTATAAAATTTGTATATATATATATATATATAACGTATTATTTTGAGAGCGGTTATACAAAGTCATTTTCCCAAAATTTTCATCCAAAAAACTGAATAAAAGTTACTCTTATTTTCCTCACTATTTTCTTGTTGAGTGAGACAAACAAATGTCTTAAATTACTCCCCGTCCTTTGTAATTGGTAAATTAACAAATCATTTGGAAAGCCATCCGGTAATTGAAATTAGTGTAATTACTAGGGTAGTAATTACACAGCCTAGTAATTACACAATATAGTAATTACGGCGACCTATTTGTTTGACATAACGTAATTACAGTATAATTACATGCATACTGTTTGGTTGCACAAGTATAATTATATAGTAAAATTAAATTTTAAATGAATTATTTATCAAAACTTAAAAGTTAATATAATAAATATATGCCTATAAATATTTTTTTTAAGTATAAATGATATTAGATATGGTATTTAAGATGCATATTTTTTCTTGAATAACATTAATTAGTAAACATATATTTATAACTAATATTGTAAAAATGATTGATATATTTTAAATTAATAATATTTAGTTTATTTAACGTATAAGAACATCATGAAATGCATGTTTGATAAAATAAATTAATATTTATAAATATAATATCATAACATTATTCAAATAT